TTTCTTTGATTCAAGGAGCAAAGTGAGGGATGAAGTCCAAGAACATAATAATTCCTCTCCATTAACCAGACCAGCATCAAATTTCCAGCGGAGGTCGCCAGTTCCACAATCTAGATATCAGTCTGTTTATTCCAGCGAGAGTGCTCTCAACACTGTATCATATTCCAATACAAGCGTGAGGAGAAAGAAAAATCAGGTCGAAACACACCGTGAGCCTACATACAAGCCTGTTGCTGACCCACAGCCTGAGGTGGCGCTTGGGCTGGAGTCAGAACCTGAAGCAGAGCCAGAGCCAGAGCTGGAGCCTGAGTCCATTTATCAAGATGAGGATATTGCGGTAGCTGTACCAGATATTGTCTCTTCAGATTTTGGTGATGGTGATAATGATGAAGATGAAGATGAAAAGGAAGAACATCGGATTGAAGATGGAGATCTAAATGCATTAAAGCTCCCAGAACTGAGGGCTCTTGCAAAGTCTCGTGGCGCGAAAGGGTTTTCAAAGATGAAGAAGAGTGAGCTGGTAGACTTGCTAAGTGCTACCTCTGTCTGATTGATGTTGCGGGAAGACAGAGAACTATCAACAGCATACATACTGATATAGGTTGTGATGCACCTTTTCTTTTTCTTTTCTTTAAACTTCGACAGATTTTTTTTGTCTGAATCATCTTCCTGTTAAACGTTCAGTGAAATTTTGGATTCAAAGTGTAGCTCTTTTGCCATCTTCAAAATTTTTCTTTTTTGGAAATAGTAGTAGATAATCTGTTATTAGATTCTGTTTCTTTCTTTCTAATCGACATTCTTGCAGATTCTTGATTGGTATATTACTTGGATTTTATTTTGCAAACTCTGCCGGGAAGCTATGGCTTTTGTATATACCAAAATTTACATCAATTTTAAATTTTCAGTGTTAGATGAAATCAAAGTACTAAATACCATAAAAACGAATCCATCTTATTATGTGTTTAGGTTAAATTCTCTTCAATTTTTTATTCTCATACCCAAGTATTATAAAGGAAAATATGTGTACGTGTGTGTGTGTATACATATATATATATATATATGTAATATATGTATATTGGTCATTAGCTTTGACAGGGCAATCCCTCTTTCAGCTGTAAAATGAGGTCCACTAACCCTACCTAAAATTTATTCACACCAACTAGGTGTTCTGTCAAAGTTTATGCCCCCATAAGGGAAACCACTACTTACCTCACTCTGTTCTTGCCTTCCAATCTGGAAACACAACAGTTAAAATATATATATATATATATATATATATATATATGAAGTAATATTTCTGTGACCCAAAACAAAACCCTAAAAATTATAATATTTATATTACAAGATTCTATAGACATCATAATTTTTATACACATATTACGAAATTTAATCACATGATATTTATTTTTCCTAAAAAAAAATAATATTAATTTGAATTTATTA